GCCTTGAAGAAGGAAAGGGTCACTGCACGATTTATTCTTTCATTTGTTTATTGTTTTTAATTCTTAAAGAAAAACTATATTACAGCACAGGCACATTTTTTATTCTTCATTCAACTGCCTCTAAAATTAGCCAAAAGACTCAGTTTTTTTTGGACATTTTATACACAAGTAGACAGTGGAAAAATGGTGATCTTGCCTTCATTGTTTATAATAATATGCATTTTATATAATAATATGCATGCTATTTAATAATATGCATTTTTAGATGATAGCATTAGAGTTTATCTTTATTTTTCTTACAGTTATTATTACAATCACATCATTCTCCTTACACTCATTCTCTGTAGTGTATATAGCAAAACAAAGGAACCTTTTGAAATTTGAATTCTGGATCTGAAAAGTTCCATGCTGTCATCTCTTCTGTTAAATGGTGATGCATGCTTGCTCATAAAGGAAACCCCAAATCATGTGAATTTTACCCAGGCCTCTGTGTTTTTTCAAGTTTGTAATGAGAAGTAAAATCCATTCTTCCTCAAATGTAGGGATCTCAAAATACGTGTTCAGCCGCAGTTTTCTTGTTCACTGGTGTAATCACACCAGTGGCCATCCCTGTTTCCATTACACATTTCCCTCTATATCAATTGGAAGCCTTGCATGTTAAGGAAAAATGTAAGCACAGATGATAACAGTTCGTCTTTCTGAATGAATCGATTGCTCTTCCTGGGCAATTTGGTAGCAGCAGCAGACGTAATGCTGTGTTTGCTAAGCTGTGTTATCACCACATTCCCTGGTTCAATCTGAAACGTGTAAATAAAGCCAGCATGATGCAGAGAGGACTGCCAGCTGATCTTTCGTGCAACACAGGGCAGCATGAGCAGACTTGTCCTGGAAGATCATTGCTTTTGAAACTTGAACGCACCCCAGTGTTTTCTTTAAACTAGACAAGAAGGTTATTCATTTCTTTTATCTCATTGCGTGCCTGAGGGCAAAGGACTTAAATGTTTATGAAGCACCTGGAGTGCACCAAGTGCTTTACATACGACAGAATATTTAATTCTCCGGACACTCCAACCAGGATAGGGACTAGGGACTCCCCTTCCCAGAGAGCAGAACTGTGACTCAGGAACGGTTAGGAACTTGACATGGTAACAGAGCTAGTGGATGACAGGACCAGTGTTAAACTCAGTTCCCTCTGACTCAGTGGCCTGTTATTAATAAAATATGCAGGCCTGCAGAGTTGGCACATCTTAGAGTTTTTTTTTTTTCCTCTAACTTTTCATCTGTTGTTGCAAACCCTGGTGACTCCAGCTCCTACGTAAAATGCATACACTTTCTTATAATGTAAATTACTGTATTATCTTACGTAAATTATCCATAAATAAAGTTTACTAAAATCTTTAGCAAGAAAAGTTAAAAAGTAAATAAGAACGGAAAGAAATAATTTCCCCAAATATTTTGAAAAGGCCTAATTTAACATACATTCTCATGAAAACTGGGCACAATAACACTGGAAAGGAACAGTAGGTAGAAATACGTAATTGAACAAGATGTCTGAAATCGTGTGTTATATAGTAAGTTGAGAGAGAACAGAGACCCACAGACACCAAAGAAACAAATGACAAAAAGGGCAAGTCTGAGCTGAATGCCTGCCTTGGGGATCGTCCACTAGACACGTAAGGGCTTCCTGCCGTGGAGAGGACACTTGCTCTGGAGTTAACAGTCCTGGGCTGGAACGCTCTGCCCCGTACATGTGAACGTAGTCAAATGTGGACATAGACACATTGCTGAAGCTCACGGGTTTGATCACACCAGTGCCATCACATTTCCCTCTATAAATTAGAAGCCTTGCATGTTAAGGAAATATATAAGCACAGATGATAAACATCCCCCAAAGCTATTGAACTCTTGTGAAAAAAGAAATCTCTCTGGTGTTTGTTGCATTTTGATTGTATCAGTTGGAGATTTTTTTTAATCAAAATCTTTGATGACTGAAAATGCTAAGTAACTGCACCTTTGGAAGATTTTAGTGAATGGAAGTGAATTTAAAAAGGGCTGGCAAAAAAGATCCTGAAAGTTTTTTCTTTACAAAAGCACGGGATGTTCAGCACAAAGCAAGCTAGGAGGACAAATGCTGTGCGTGATTCAGTGTTTAAGTTCTGCAGTTACACTTTGGATTATCTCAACTTGTGGGATTAAAACACTGTTGATTTTGAATAGGATAAATATATATTCTACCCAGGAATGGAAGGAAATTGAGAAGCCATTTATTTTCCAGCATAAATTTTGTAAAACATTCAAAAGAATCATAGACATGACTTATTTGAAGTTTTGTCTTGAAAAGCATGGTTGACAGAGAAATTTCATATGAATGGATACACAATATAGCACCTTTAAAAATATTTGGGCTGAAATATCTACAAATTTTAGTATTTAAAAAATAGAATAGAGAGTGTTCTCCATGGATCACATTTTTGTTGTGTTTTTAAGGCACCTTAGTGCCTAAAGAGAACTTTTGTAATTAAAATTATGATCTACAGTAGAGTCAATTAAAGGTATCAATTTAATGACCATTAAATGCAACTCTGAAGATAATTAAGAACGTTTATGAAATATAAATCAAAAGATGACATTAAAAAGTACATTTTTTTTTAAAAGTGATCCTGACATGGGACTATTAACAGATATAACTAGGAAACTAAATATATGAAAATGTAGCATGAATAATCATTCTTCATGTATCATTTTAAAAAATTCAGATAATATAAACAAATTGATTTTGTTTCAGTACATCTAAAATGTATTTTTGTTTTGAAACCCATGTTATATGAAAATAAGTAAAAATGAAATAATTATATAGATCCACCAGTATAATAAATCCAAGTTGCTAGTTGATAAATACTTCAAAAATTATATAACTCTGATTATTTTCACTCTGAAAAGTGTAAAGATGTGGTCAATAAATTGTTGTATGTGTTGTCCTAGATACTTTGGAATTCCGTAGCCTAGCCTTAGAATATTGGATGCTCAAACTAAAACATCAAATTCACTAAAAAGTAAAAGAACATTGTGAGAATCATTTATTATTTTGGTATACTAACTCAGGCTCTTCATCACAATCAGAACCTCAGTATTTGGGTGTCTCATAGGCAAAAAAAAAAAAGTAAAAATAAAAATAAAAATTAATCAGTTTATGGGGGAAAAAACTGAAATTGGAGATTTTTATGAAATTGAGCCGCATGGAAATTTGAGTCATTTTCCAAGAAATTGTTTTGACCTAAACTCTATGCTGCTGAAAAGAGGAAGCCACTTGTGCCCTTTGGGTCAAATTCCCTGGTGCTTTCAAATCCTCCTTTATAAACATGAATACTTCTGTGGCAGACAGAGATGGGTTTTCACCATTGTGCCCGTTAATAGATGTTGCTGGATTGCTGAGCATGAATTAAGTCACGCTGCCAGCATATCCAATTTGTAATGCAAACTGCTTGAAGAATTAGAGTGGGTAAGAGAGTAAGAGAAATCAGAAATTTAAAATGAGAGTGAGAAAGTAAAAATGTCTTGCAAGTTTTACTTTGCCAGAGGAAGCATCGAGTGTCACTTCTGCTTCTGGACAGAATGGTTGGTTAGAGTACAGCCCAGAAGATACGAAGGCAGTCAAACCATCCCAGCACCCTTCCTAAAAAGCGAGCAGCAATGGTGCATTCTAAACTCTACCCCTCTCTTTGGTCTATTTCAGCCAAGTAGCTGCACGAACAAGGTTAGATGCAGGGAGGGAAATCTGTGCTTTTACTGGTCACTGCGGTCCCTAGGGGGTGGCCTGTTTTCCTTCACCCATCCATGGTGGAACAGAGAACACAAGATGAGAATGAGGTTTTTTTTTCCTTTTGCTGCAAAGAAGAAATAGTCTCTTAAATTTAGAAGATTTTGCTCAATAATTTAGTACAATTCTAATCCAACCAAACTTTTAGAAAAAAAATGTTTGATTAGACTTATTGGAAGTTTTAGGTATTATACATTTACTGTAGCAGCTGCAGTGACCCAGCTAGGCATGAGCGGAGAAGACACTAACAAAATCCTGGTTATAAGAGAGTTCATAATGGCGCTCGAATCTGGGTGTCAGAATATAAGAGATTGTGTAAAAATGCTGCTCTATAGGGAATCACCTTTCCTTCACTATTTGAGTAATTTCTAGGTGGTTTTTATAAGCACTAGCTACCTAACGTGGTAAAACCCATTTAAAGTTTTCTATAAGCAAAGTAAGGATACTGTTCTTAGAAAGGTGAAGTCCATTTCATATAAACAATTAAAGATGGAGGAAAAGGGACTTATATTTGCTTACATTTCCACAAAAGAAGAAACAATCAATTGTTGAGCATCCTCCTCGGGGACACCTGGGTAGGATGCCGCCCCCAATAGCGTACTAACTGGGGACTTTGTAGCCTGTCTCCAGCAGTTACTGTATTTCTGAGGGGCTCACCAAAGGATAATTGAAATGTTCATCAGACCTGCAGCGGACTTAATACATGTTTAAAAATGCAGTTGAGTTTGACTAAGAGGTCAAACTATGCAACATACCATTTTGGTGTTATTGTTTACCTGCTGGAATCCTTTCTGAAGGACTCACAGGAGAGGGGAAGTGAGCTAACGTTGTGAAGACAGAGAAGAGACAGGGACAACCAATGGAAGGGATTGCAGCGTCCTCGGGCAGAAGTCGCAGCTCCACAGGGAAAAGAAGTTCTTGCTTGGTTCCCTGGGGCTCCCATTCATCAGCTCATGATAGGAAGGTAGTGACTGATGCTTGCATCCTACAGGTGGTCACATCTGAATGAGTAGGGATTTGGGGAAATCAGTAAAGTATTTTAAGTTGCGAAAAATGTAAGTTTATCTCCTGGAATCATTCTATTGATAATAACCATGTTATTATAACATGGCAGAATAATTTCTATAACAGGACAATAAAAAAATGAAGTAACTAAGTTAAATCTTGCTTTTATGTTTCTTAGGAATCTGAGAAAAAGGGCTTAATTGAAAGAATCTACATGGTACAGGACATTGTTTCAACTGTTCAAAACATCTTGGAGGAAATAGCTTCTTTTGGAGAAAGAATTAAAAAGTAAGTTCTACATCTGTGTTTTGGTGTTTGAAGTGGAGCGGCCATCCACAGGGACAAGCAGGGGTGGGGGGCATGGGGGAGGGTGGGATCAGAAGATGCAAAAGCGAACAAAAACAAAAGCAACAGTTTGGGGCAAATCCTGTTAATCTTGGTTGGTTGGTTCTTGGGCTTGTCAACTTCAGGGTGGGCAGGGACCCAGAACTGGGGTGACCATATAGCCCAATTTACACCAGTTGTCCCAGCATAACTATTAATAGTCCCTCTCTTCATTCTCAAGTGAAAATGATAAAAAGGTTTAAGTGATAAACTATAGATTAAAAAAATAGATTATTCTAAACAGAAAGATGGAAGCAAATATGCTCTTAAGGAACCTTTTTCATCTGAACCACAGGATACAGTAAACACCTTGAGTGAATTTTTCTCTCTATTCTCCAAAGAATGGTACATAACTAGTAGCATCACAGAGGCAAAGACATGAAGTTAATCCATCATGTGCATGGATACCTTGGGATAGGGGTCAACAGACTTTCCCCATAAAGGGCCCAAGAGTAAATGTTTTCAGCTTTGTGGACTATGTGGTTTCTGCCACAACTGCTCAATTCTCTTGTTTAAGTGTAAAAGCAGTCACAGTTGACCTGGAAATGAATGGATGTGGTATGTGTTCCAATAAAACTTTATTTACAGAAACAAATGGCAGGCTAGATTTGACTCAGATCCATAGCTTACCATCCCCCTTCCTTAGGGCATAATAGAGTCTCAATTGAGCAGAATCTTTCTGTGATTCAAGTCTTTGTTGGTTTGTTATGTCTTACACATTGTGAACTCTGCATTACTTGGTCTTTATTTGATACCAATGAACAGAACAGATTTTTTTTCCCTTTGAATTGTAAACTTATCGTGTTCCCCCTTTAAATCCAGAATTGTCAGCCATGTTGTTCTTTCTGAAGGTTAATTAATTTTTCTTATTTTATTGGCCATTTGCGTTTCTTTGAATAAAGAACATGACATTTAGAAATTACATAGATAAAGAAGAGATTCAAATTAGTGCTAAAAGCCAAGTGAAATTTTGTCTATCAAGATGCAGTGATGATTAAGATAAATCAGTAAGTGATGATGAACATCAGGAAATATAAATAGTTAATATGGAACTTTCTGTGGTTACCAGTCTTCTTTATCAGTCCTTTTATTACATGAAATTGTCCTTGAATGTGTTTATTAATTGGCATAGCAAACAGGCTTTAAAAACAAGTTATAAGACATCTTTTAACAAATTTGGTGAGTGAGTTTTTACTGAATTTACACATCCTTATTCCCATGAACAATGTCTTTTTTTTTTAATTGAAGTATAGTCAATTGCAATGTGTCAGTTTCTGGTGTACAGCGCAATGTCCCAGTCACATACATACATACATGTATTTGTTTTCATATTATTCCCATGAACAGTGTATTAAGTAAAATTAAAGAGCAGTTGGATTTTTCATCCCATGTATCAACGTCTGTCTGCTTTATTTCTCTAGGTGTCGTGTACACTGAAAACAGATTCCTGAGTGTACTCTCAAAATTGTTTAGCAAGAGCATAAGTGACAGTAGGAAACAGTGAAATGATGAGGAGGACATTATAGTCATTCATTCGCTCATTCAGTTCTCAGGGTTGGAGTTTCAGACACTGACTTGGTTTGAGAACGAGAAATGCATCCCCAATAACAATGATAACAGAAACTGTGACTAACATCTTGTACCAGCCAGACACCGTGCCAAGCCCTTTACACACAGCGACTTCTTTAAGGAGTTCCTTAAAGCAGTCGGACTAAATGACTCCAGCAGCCCTGCAGGGTAAGGATTGTTAGTATCCTCGGTTTACGGATGAGGAACTGAAGCACAGAATGATTAAGTGTGATTAAGCTCAGATCACACAGTGCGTTAAGCCGTGGAGCTTGAGTCTGAAACTGCCCTCCTCACTTTGCACTATAATGTCATTACCCTCCAGGGGTCTGTTTTCTTTTTTGTTATTTGTTTAGCTTTATTTTTTTTACTCTTTTTTTTTATTGTAGTGTAGTTGATTTACAATAGTATATTAGTTAGTATATCAGGTGTACAGCATAGTGATTCAAAATTTTTATGGATTATACTCCACTTGAAGTTATCAAATATTGCGTATATTCCCTGTGCTGTATGGTGCATCCTTGTAGTTTATTATATATAGTAGTTTGTACCTCTTAATTCCCTTGTTCCTCCCCCTTCCCTTTTTCTTGGGATCTGTTTTCCAATGAGGGAGAAGAGCACTCCAGGACAATTAGAATAGCATTGATATTAGATAAAGGTTAGACAGGATGCCAGGGAAAGTCTTACATCCCGGGAAGGATGTAAGAGAGACAAAGGGAGGTTCTGAAGAAGCAACTTATCAGCATCTCTGAAAAAGGGAAGAACTATCTAGGCACAGAATCAATGAATGGGGGCTACGGTAGGTGGGAGCCTTTGTGCAAAGGCTCAAAGCTCAAGACTGGACTAGATACAGGGAGATGTAGGGGAGGTGGTATGTCTGTGTCATTGGGGACGGGAGTGGCAGTGCCTGGAGATGAAGCAGGTCATGTGGGGCCTTCAATGGATGGAAAAAGTCAATGGAAAAAAATTGAATGAGGGATGTACAGGCAGCCAAGAAGATAAGAGGATGTGGAGTGGGGGCCAGACTGAGGAAGGAAGGCCACATCCTTTGGTAACACTGTCTCCATGCCTGAACGTCTGTTGTAGACAAATGTGCCTCTTGTGCAGCTGGTAATGGGAAAGCAAATGTGTCTGATGAGAAGAGGGCAGAGTGATTCAAATAAACCCTCAACTCTGCAGTGCTTGTGAGGGGCGGCTGCGCCCAGCCCAGCTGTGGTGGCCATGTCTGAGATGTATTTTCAATCATGAACAGGGCACTGTTCTGCCCAGCTGCGGCACAGGAAGACACGTGAGGCTCAACTCCCATTCATTCTCTGGCCGTTCATTAGTACAGTGACCTTAAAGTTCCAGCTGGCCATTCAAGTAAGACGGCATGTGTAAGTCTCTTGGAATTCCATTGTCGTTCAGTGCTTCGGAACCAGGAAAACTTTTACCCAACTTTTGGCGGCTAGCAAATAAATAGGCTTACACAAATCTTCTCAGAGCAAGGCTGCCCTGTTACTGACAGGGAGGACCCTAGTGGTTTTGTATTGGAGTGAATGGTCTTTTCTCTTCTCTACATTGTCTAATTACCTTCTCTAATTGTAGACAAATTTCAGATACATGCATACATCAGGCTAGAACATTTACTTACCATGTGGCATTTATATTATCCCAGGCAGCA